TGAACCAACAAAGTGGTAGCTTTAGAACATCTGGGCGCCTCTGTCCAGGGGGCGAGGAACAACTACACCTGGGAATTCTTTATAGAAGCCATTGACTTCTCCCTAGATTCATAGAAAGTTTTTTAAAATCCCTTCTCTCTCTGGTATCGAGACTGTTCCCTCGGCACGAGTGTTGGGTACATCTCTGCTCGAGCGTGTCATTTTGAAGTGTGACGTCACAAGTTATTGCTATGTGAGGTTGTCACACCGCTGTATGCTGCTATCTGTTCCGCATTTGATTTGTATGCTGTGTTACTTATTCTATCTTTGATTACCATGCCCATTGTGTGTGTTATCTATCTGTCGTCATAGCGGCATGTGGTAATCACTATGCTGACTTTCCTTAACTGTGTATGGCTCTTGATGTGTGTCACGTTTGATAACTAAAATGTTTAAAAAACCAATTAAATTGTCCACGCTTGCCCTGCAGGGTGCGCCATCGAGTTTCTCTGCTGCACGCTGCGGCTCCACGGTCAAGTTATTCTCACGTGCTACCGCCAGAGGGAGGGCTTTTCTAAACCTGAATCGAACTAATTTTCCTACAGGCAGAGTAAACATGTGAGTCATAAACACGAATACCGTACAACAGTGTAAACACACATGTAGCCTCGTCGTCTGTGAGAACAACACAACGGAGACTCGTTGTGTTGCTCTCATCTGAATCATCATCGGTCACGGTCAACCCTTGTGAAAGACCCAACGCAACAAGATCCCTGGTTTCGATCTTCCACCGTGCTCACGGTTCACCCTAAACCGCATCCGCACGAACCATCGTAGCAGGTGCGGATACCCGATGCACGAATGGGAAATGTAAAAACTCTTCGGTGTTGCGACTGTGGTCATCCAGACTGTAATAACGGCGCAATGCCCTATCCGCAAACATGAAGGAGACATCGTAGAGGTACACTGCGCTGGTCCCGACGCGGTTGTCTGGGCTTGACCATCTGGATGTGAAATTGTAGTCGATGCTCTGCATCTACATGAGCCGTACGACAAGAAGAAGACGATGTCTTCTTCTTGGTTCTTTCGGTAAAGTCACGTAGAATGGAAATAATAAAATAATAAAAATAAAACATAATAAAATAATTCTCACAGTGAGAAAATAATTCTCACAGTGAGAATTATTTTATTATGTTTTATTTTTATTATTTTATTATTTCCATTCTACGTGACTTTGCCGAAAGAACCAAGAAGATGAATCCCAGTCACGAAAGCTTTAAATCGAAATTTAAGAAGACGATGGTCAACCCACTGCTGGATGAAGGCCTTCCCAAGCCGTTGCCACCTATCACGATACTGCGATGGAACAATTACACCCACCTCCGATTATCACGCCTGGTTATGTACGGTGCGAAAAAAGTGCAACATACATCCAGCACCCTGTACATGAACTGTCCCAATACAGTTCTGCCCAGTTTATCTCCCAAATTCCACGGGGTTTTATTACGTAGCGGTGGTGAAATCCAGAATGTGTTTTGTTCGTACCAAACAGAATAATTCGTCTATCGTGAGGCCTGCAATTATTACATTTGAAGCAGTCAAAAAACAGACCCAATCCTGTATATAGTATTGTTGCTGGTACTGTAATGTTTTACGTTTGCACGTGGCAAAAGCTAATAACACGAGTCCAACAATATGATATACTACTGGACATCTGTCAAAATGAGCCTCATAGCTCATCGGATTCCTCTAGTCGAACTGAAGATTCTGATTCTGATGTACAAATAGTTCAAAGCTATTGAGTAACCTATAAGCCCCCAATATCCAGCCGAAAAATATCTCGTCCCGCAGCGCATAGAGCAGTGTTCAGCTTGAGAAGAGCTCCAGGAGTCTAGAGAAAGCAGTCATCCAGCATGGGTGTATTATCCTCCACGTCACCAAGACCCGTAGACTCACACAAAGACCCATAGACTCACACAGGCCCGTAGACTCACAGAGATGTATAGACCCACACGGAGACCCGAAGACTCGCATAACAACGTATCGACTCAGATAAAACCCCATGGACTCACATGGAGACCGATAGACTCACAAATGTATATCCAGCATGGAAAAACCAGCAATGTATCATCCTCCACATCACCACAGTTGCTCATTGAGTTGTCCCAAGTGCCCCTGGAACTTTCGGTTTTATAACAACTACTTATTTATCGAGCAAAGCCTCAATAATTACTTATTCATCTATCTAGGAAAGCCACATTGCACTGGGCTTTAATTTTAAGATATTTCCAGCCAATCGAGTGTTTATGCACGTGTGGGAGGAAACCGGAGCACGCGGAGAAACCCCATGTTTCGCGAGGGGGCAACACTCTATCCCAATACAGATGGAAACATCGCCGCTAGTCCACTTGTTGTACTGCCGTCTGGCATGCTAGGGCATCATGGAACGTCGATACCCACAGGAAGGGAGTTTCGCAACATTTGTCCGACCCACCAACCCTCGCTTCCACAGTACTGGTTTACAGGCGTGCACAGCCACCACTGCCCGGCGCAGAAGAGCATATCCCACCTCAACTTATTGAGCTGGCTCTCAATGCGGTGTGGGAGCTCAAAGGCCCAGAGGAAGTTGGTCATCAGGCCTCATGATGATGTGGGAATTCTCGATGATAGCAGAGGCTCTCTCCCATTCCATCTGCCACAGTGAGCTGGTGATGTTCTCATGTGGATGAAGAGTGGTGCAGTGTTGTCCAGGTAAGGACTTCTGCTGTAGGGGGTCACTGAAACGTCATCGTAGGTATTGTTGATAGGCAGTTGTCAACCAAGAGAGAGCCCATTAAGATATCTCATTCATGGCAAGCCTGGGGTCAATGCACATCGTGACACAGACAAACTGCATGCAATTACCAACCATGTACATGCACATCGCTTTGATGTGCCACTGACATGCATATCTAAAAACACAATTTTAGGGGGGTAACATGTAAAGAATCAAAAGACATGTCTAGGACAACTGTGGAATAGATATTACATACACACAAAAATAAAACTCAAATTTATAACATAAAAGGTGCGCTATTTTAAAACTTAACTGAAAATGCTCTCTTTTTCTCAAGAAATCAACCAAATATATTCTTCAGAACGTGAAATTGCCGTAGTAATATGGGTTGTGATGGAAAAATGAAGCTGACTGAAAATAATGGATAATGGAAATACGACGAGAATCATGATAATGTGTACGCGACAACATTATTCTGAATCCAGAGGCGATGTTTCCAGATTCGATAAGAAAATAATGTACGTGGAAATGCTCATTAAATGTGTAGCACTGAAATTACATCTCTAGCTCACAATAGCCAGGCAATGGTTGGCCTGCACTTTGCTGGTAGGGTCCCGCAAGCAGCGGTTTGTGTTGAACCTCATCAGAACATCTCACGGCAGATGCGTATATCGCCTACACCAATGGGCAATGGTCCACAGTGCGACTGTGGACATCAATCTCAAACCACGGGCGACACCGTAACGCCACTTACCGTCCACTTCGATTATTCACTGGCAGCATTTCAGATATTCACCGGGTCACTCCATGAAAGCTGTCCACTGGCTCACTCACAAACCTCGGCATGAACAGATTTACTTTGCTGATCAGCTCCGTACCATACAAAAGGAAAATAATGTGGCGGTGTGAGAGATTATGCAGGCAGCATGTGCTTGGTACTCCCAACATCTTTAGCTACGAGGTGGAAAGTTGGCTTCTGAAGTGGCTTCTGAACTGTCGGTACAAAATGATGGCTTCCTGAGAATCAGTGCGATTTTCCAGGTAACACATTCAACCTCATAAATGCTGTGTGGGTGCAAGTGTTGTTAGCGAGCACCTATTATCGTTGGCATGGCGCACGAGGTACTCGTTTAAGGTCGAGCCGAACTGAAACTGATGTGCATCAGAAACTGAAGTGTGGTTGTCGGGATCGCAGCGAATCATACCACCAATGCACACTACGCACACAAGCATATGCGACAACACGCAGAGACAATAAAACAAAGCTCTTCCTTTCGCCTTCTAATCTACAAAGACAAGTGTTTTTTTGTTTGTTCTCGAGCACCCAAGGTAGGAACGGCAAACGCGGGATGGGAGTGGTGTGGCCGACACTACGCGCAGCCGCTCATCGTCTTCCCAGTTTTGACGTTCACACAACACCCCAGCTACTCCGTCAAGGCTGAGTCGACCTAGCAGGGGCACATGACAGGCTAGAATACACGTTGCCATTGATGCGCATGGCCGGGAATTGAACCGGAATCTTTGAGTATTGCGTGATCAATGGACAAAGATGATCAACGACGTTCGTGGACACATACACACAGATGATTAATACACACGCAGCCCAGCGCCACAGATCTTACAAAGCAAACAAGCCATATAACAACACAGACAGGCAGATGATACGGAAAATATAACTGAGCGATGATACCACACATCCAGATAAGAGGATGCAACGTATGCATAAAGAGAGATGATTAAACGCGCACACAACCACAGAAATAACAATTAAGACAAACAATTATCAGTATATTCGTAATAATTATCAGTATAGTAGCGAGCACGTATTGAAGTCAATATGGTGCATGAGGCAGTGGTGTGGCTTGCACCACGCTCGGCCACCTTCGTCTCCCCAGTGGTGATGCCAGATGCTCATGTTAGGCTGAATCGACTTAGAGGAGGCCCAGGAACGTTTCAGATATTCATCGCCGTGATCGAACTCGGGTTGTAAGGGCACTGCGCTAATCACACTACCCCCGTCCCCCCCACTATACCGGCTTTGTCTATTGTGTTGTATTAACCCACAGAGACAAGACAATGGGCAACACCGCAGACAACGTGCGCGCTGGGCTAATTGCTCCCGTCACGTGAGGCGCGATCTGCTCGCGGAGCGTGGAGGGCGCGGGGAGCAGAGCTCGCTCAGAGCTCGGGGCTCCTGTGCCCGGGGAGGGGGCTCCTCTGCCGCGTCCTCCCCTCCCGCCTCTTGCACTCGACTCCGAGCCGCGCTCCCTCTCGCACTCGGGTTCAGCGAAGCCTCCGATGAACACCGCGCCAGAAACTCGCTGCGATCGTAGCGCTGTCTTTTGCATCTCACGATAGCAACAGTTCCGGGGATTTTGTGTTTTTTTTTTCTTTCTTTCTCATCCCTCCTCGAGTCGATTTGTTGCGCTAATAGTAGTATTATTTTATATGTATACTGTAAACGCATATGTTTATTGTGTAGTTTTGAGTTTGACGACGAAGATGCCGGTTATGAAAGGGTTGCTGGCTCCCCAGAACACTTTCCTGGACACCATCGCGACGCGCTTCGATGGCACTCGTAAGTGATGTTCACCTTTATGCGAGGGCGGACGGCTCAAAAGAGCCTATGGTAATTAGAGCTGTTTACCTCAAACGGGCGTTAATCAGTGCGGCGCATCGCGAGCGAGTGTAGCATTACCACATGCGACGGAAGACAAACGCGTGTGTGTGCGCGCGCGCGCGCGTGTATACACACACACACGATCCGTTTAGCTCCGCTCTTGGGCACGCCACCGTTGTTTGTTAACTTTAATATCCGCTCGAAAAACCTTCGAGGTCCCGTACGTATAATTGTTATTGTTATCGTACTTAATAAAAAAAATATGCGTTGCGCAGTTCAACTCAACAGTTGACATTTCGTTGGCATACGTGTCCGAGCATAGAATGCGCGTCAATGTAAACAACAATAATAATCAACGGAGTAATTGAGCATTTGGAGGACAGTTTTTTGTGGTTGTTGTTGTTCCAAACGACGATTTGCGCTTGGGAGCCTGGACCGCGTGTTTCAGCACCACGGACAGTGCCCGCCACTGTCGCCACGTACACGCGCCTTGCGTTCGCCACGCGCACAGACTTAAGCGCTCGCGGAGTCGACAGTTGACAGCTGGGCTGTCTGCTTCGAAATACAAGGCAAACACATTTTAAGATGCCAATTAAAGAAACGGTCACGGTCTAGCGAGCATTTGGGTTTCTGCAGAAGGCGTCATTCGTCCGTCACTGCGTGTCTCGTGTTCAGCGCGAGCCCGCGAGGGTGTGCGTGTGTGCCCTGTAACCATCGCCGCAGTACATGTGCCGCCAACAGATCTGTAATCGTATACTACCGAGTACCATCCTACTGTCAACGGAGTCTATACATTTTAAATAAAGCCCATCCTGGCGAGCCTTTTTTTCATTCGGCCAATGCACTCGATTATATGGCTAATATGGTTATGCGTTTTCGCATATAATTCACTTAATGTAGCTCCTACCTGTTGATGGCTTACATTTATTACAAGAGAGGGAGGTGATTGATATAGTAAAATAGATAATATATGTTTGTGTCACAGAAAACACGTGGATTCGTTCGTTCGGTTCAAGAGTGGGCTCTGTTAATAATACATTATCACAAATGTAGTCTTCATGATGACAATGACAAGTTGGTCTGTGCGTCGAGGAGGTCATGAGGTGGGTATTGATTTGAATCATAATGAAATAGACGTGGACCACGGTTTGGGCTTTCCCCCAAGAGGATTCCAATAACCTCTTAGAAGCTGACCTCAAGGTCACGTGGCGTCTTAGCCTACTTCAAACCCTTTGGCCCCTCGAGGAGAGCTTCATGCTGTAGTGTGTTTTCTAAATATGTTTATTCTTTACTTAAATCCCCTATACTCGTCGAGCGGTTGTGATAGTAATTGTACTCGCAGGGCAATATCGTGGACGTGTTTGCTAAGGCCAAGGTATGTTTAATGATCGACAAATTGTCCAATCAGAAAATGAATGGGTAGAACGTAATTGTAGAAAAGCTATCATCCACTTTCCATCACGTGTTAACAATATTCCACCGAGTGTGCTGTTGAATGTGAAGTCGTAATTTCCATTGAATTAAATGTTTTGCACGGGGAACATGGTGTACTACTGCACACTGTTTACTGGCGTAAACACAAAATGAAAATTATTATTATGATGCTTTTCATCCAACTACAACTTTCACTGGTTCACACAGGATGAGTTTCCAACAATTGTATCAATATTGGCATATTGATACAATTGTTTATAAATTGAAAGAATTGACTGAATCATTGACTTGAATGAAAACTGCAATCATACCATTAATACAATAGTAATACCATTAATATTTAATTAATAATGGAAGCGTCGCTTACAATGATTCTTACAAGAATAAGACGTCAACATCACACAATAAGATTTTGAAAATGATAAGGCCACAACAAAGTGTAAAATACTACTTTAGCAGCATTTCAAGTATCGAGGAATATATGTACGTATGTATGTTGTACTTCTTTCGTACGTAGCCAACCGCACTAATCGGAGGTGCGGGGGAAGGTCAACAACTTAAAATAATGTGATATTACGAAACTAGGCTAGTACGAAGTATGGTATATTCTTTCAAAAATATATATCAATTGAGCTTAAATGAAAGTGAATATTGGAAAAATAATGTTGTCAGCAACGGTGTGAGAGATAGGGTTAAACGGTGGACTGGGAAAGGCCGATTTCGTGAAGTGAGGGGTACATAACATGTTGGAACGCACATAGAGACGAGGGCAGAGGCGATGGTTTGTTTATTCCACTTAGGTCCCTTATTAAACTGAGCTACACAAACACAACGCACTAGAAGTGGACTATATGGCCCATGTCAGCTTGGTCCAGTCGGGCTGTCATGGGAATCTCGGCTGAGGCCACTTGTCGTTAAGACAGACCAAGTCGACGCGCTTCCCAGTGGTGATGGGGACATGGCATGAATCGCTTTGTTGTTCCATGAGACTGACGCATTGTAAATTACAGATTTTCTGCCAACGTTTATTGCATGGGAGGGGGGGTGTAGAAGAGATTGGTTCCTGTCTCAAATTGCAGTAATTTGCTCTCTGGATGACAACATAAGTATTATGGTGAAAGTACATTGGAAACTTCCTTGATTACATCCAGTGATTATATACACCTCCAGAGCGAAATATTAAACCAGAGTGGGAACAATGAGTGGGTGGCTTGGACCCGTAATTAATCAATGTGGGAGGTAGATGTGGTTAGATCAACATCCATATCTTGACAAAAAAGAGAGGAAGTTGGATTTTAGGAACCATTCCTGGGTTCTGAGGGTATAGTCTGGTGTTATTATGAAGCAGAAAGTGAGGCGAACACTGGTGTTTGTAGCTGTAGGAGTGCATCATTATGAAATTTCTGGAGTAGCAACACGTTATTATGTTGACTTCTACAACAGTTAAAAGAAACAGATGAGTGTGCTTAAAAAAGGTGCAAAAGCCTGCTGTTTTGTACATGTTTAGGCCTTGAGATTAAACAAATAGAACGTCGATCAAATGGTATGCAATATATTAATATTGCACATTGGTCTAATGCAGTCGTGCACTATGTAGGGAAACTAAATTGCGTGCAGTAAATTAATGTCACGTTAAAATATGATTCTGCATCAACAATTCCCATGGCTAGAAATTGAAACTCGATTCTGGATTGCATTTTTCACTGAATATAGGTTAAAGTGGTCCAGTTGTGTGATTGTGGAGCAACAACTTAGCGGGTAGTAGTGAGGCACTGAGAGAAAAAGAACGGGTTGAGAGACTGAGATGACAGACGTTGAGTGGGTAGCTTAAGAAGTGGGAGGGCATGGTTTCAGGTGAAGTAAGAAATTGGCATGCCATGTAGTCATGCAGTAATGCACTGGCCACTCCTAATTGTATACAGCTCTTATTTATATAAAAAAATTTGTACAAGAAAAATGCATTACTCTAAGTAATGTTACATTACTATCAATCCTTCTGGAGTTTTTTTTCCTTCACATTTTGATGTGAAGCATTTACATTGGCAGAAAACGGAACACCGTATAGGGGAAAATGTATGAGTAATTTTGCAGCACAGTACGCATGAAATAAAGCTTCCTTGGCCTTTTTTCCCCAAAGCCAGTGAAGGACATGTCCGAGATGTAATTTCTAACCTTTAATGGTGTGCTTCTCATAGATGAGGCATTTTTGATTTGGCGTGTCACAGCTGCGACTCCACACCAGTGTGCTGCTATGCTCTATGGAGTTTGGGATTAAAGGTTATGCTTTGAGAGGCCAGGGTCAGTAATGGACAAATAGGAATTTACAATTCTTTGCACTGCCTTTCTTTTTTTCCCTGTGGCGTGACAATGTGCCGCTGATAAGATTCGGCCGAAGAGCGCGAAGCTACCTTCAAAGGGGAAGCAGCTTCAATGCGACTGTAAACGTGGCGTCACAAGTAGTTTTTGTTGTTGTTGACAAAGCTTGTGTACATCTGTTGATGGTAATTGCTTGATCACTGTAATCATGAAAACAATATATGACATTAACTCATTCAAACGTTAGTGCCACTGATTATATTGAAAATATAACTGGCGATTGATTGCCCACTGCTTCAAAACCAAATAATAAATAAACAGATAATACTCCTTACAATAGTCTGTTTAAAAAGGCACTTTATTTTTTATGTTGAGGGAAATATATGTGGAGGCGTAGTGTCTGCTATGTGGTACTTATATTGTCCACAATGACGCACGTGATTTTATTGTGGTACATACCCATATTGTGTTTAATTGTAAGTCTGTACAACAGTGAACAAAGCAGTAAAAAATAATTTGCTCAAAGGCGACTTGTTAAATTATTGTTTTTGAAGCTGGCTTCAGGTGCCATATTGATTTACATAATACTGGCTGAAATAAACAGGCCTTTAGAGACAGCGTGTTGGGGTGTAGATAGGTTTACTCGTACTCGTAAGCAGTACAAAGTTATTATAGCACATTCCTGCGGAGGGAGCTGGTAGGAACGTTGGGTTGCTCGGTCAATGGCCAGGGTCAACGGCGGCGTGATGTATTCCGCAAATATTCGAGACTGTGAGGGCTGGCACAAGCCGGCGTGAGTAGGTTAAACGTTGAGTTTTATAAGAGCACCACGGGGTGACCAGCCCCTCCCCACCCACCCCCACCCTTCCCACCCCCACCCAGCCCCACCCTCCCCACCCAGCCACTCCCCACCCTCCCCTCCCCACACAGCCCCTCCCCACCCTCCCCACCCAGCCCCTCCCCACCCTCCCCTCTCCACCCAGCCCCACCCTCCCATTTTTGGATGCACGACGGACGGATGGACAGAATAATCCCCTGTGGGCTGATGTAACCAGGAGGTTCCTACCAGTAAAACAAATATACAAGAATGGTATCATCCCAGTCAGCTACCACCAATACACTGCTGGACGAAGGCCTACCTAAGCCATCACCATCTCTGAAGGTCCTGCAATCTTACAATCACCTGCAATGTTACAATCATCCAGTCC